TGTTTTTGGTTGAAACATCAACACAGTTTTTTAGGGTTCTTGATTTAAAGACTTTTAGTTGAAGTCATTTTTTGTACCAAAAAAAATAAAAACATTTTAAATGTTTTGATTAATATTTGTTCAATGTAGTGCATTTATTATTAGTTTAATTTAATAATCTTAGTTTACAAAAGAGCATTCATCAGAAATTTGATTTTGATTTGAATATTTTTTTAAAACAATTATTTACTGAAGCAGATTTTTATTAAAGAACTTATATATAATATAATATAATATAATATAAAATATAATATAATATAATATAATATAATATAATATAATATAATATAATATAATATAATATAATATAATATAATATAATATAATATAATATAATTTATTCTTTCATTTTCTTTTCGGCTTAGTCCCTTTATATATCTGAGGTCGCCACAGCAGAATAAACCGCCAATTTATTCAGCACATTTTTACGGACATTTATGGAAAAATTTCTTTGTTGAAATAAAGTGCAGTAAAAAAGTCTGTATAATATCAGTGTTTTTTATTGTGTAACTTATTGTGTAACTTTATTGAACGGATTTGATTGTAATAATCTATGAAAAGTCTGTAAAATAACAGTGTTTTTTTTTTTGTAAACTTTATAATGAACATATCTGTAGATTTTTAATTTTTGCACTTTATTTCAACAAAGATATTTTACCGTAATCTTATGTTTTTTGTTTGGCAGTCGTAGCTGCCAGTCATTTGACCTTTTTTTTTTTTTTTTTAAATGTATTACTTTAATTTTACGTAATTTTAAATGTACTTCAAAAATCTGGAAAAAACACTGTGTAAATAATACAGCAATTTCATTATATTGTGTGTTTGTGTGTGTGAAAGCTGAAATGTGTGCTCATTAATATTCAATGCCTGCTGTTATTTTATGGTAAATTTCTTTAATTTAACTGTTGTTTTACAGGTTTTTGATTGTAAAATAGTGGGGTTATTTTACAGTGTTATGAAGGCCAGTGATTTGCTTAAAACACAAATCTGGCAAGTAAAAATGTATAAGTACTTCACCTTGTTGACTATTTCTGCTTTGCTATTTTCTAGATGTGCATCAGCCGCAGTGAGTGAAAATGTGCTCAGCGCTGTGTCTTTTCATTTATAACCAGCAGCATATTATTCAAGTACCTTTTGTGTTTAATCAAATGCTCTCTCTCTCTCTCTCTCTCTCTCTCTCTCTCTCTCTCTCTCTCTCTCTCTCTCTCTCTCTCTCTCAGTCTGGGTGGTATTTTTTAATGTAGGGCGATAAGAAAAGCAAATGGACGGAGTTAATTAAAAAGAAAGGCCAGACAATTTGACAGTTCCTTTTTTTCTGTCTCTCTGACAATAACACAGACACGCTCTGTTGAGCTGCTCGCAGTAAGAACGGTGGCGTTTTTCAATTTCTTTCTTTTTTCCTTTTTTTTTTTTTTTTTGAAAGTTCATGGCAGAATAGTTATGGGATTAGTTGCGAATGGTGAAAAGTTAAGTTGAAAATTCCAGTTGGCTTTGCGGTTATAGACAGATGTCTGAAGTGCGTCTGGCCTTATTTCTGTGGGTGTGTGTGTTCAAGTGCGTGTGTTGAATCAATAGCTTACTGCCCCAGACAGCTATAGAGTCCATCAGGATCTTTTACTCACAAAACCTCTTCTGTTATCTGGGCTTTATCTTGTGTGCTTGTCTTTTACTCTGAGCACTTTACAACACACATTTATCTCCTGCTCAAGAAAGGCAGTATTTAGCTAGTAGTTAATGGCTGGTGAAAGACGTGAAATACTTTGGGGAGTTGAACAAGGTCTGCGGTTTGATGAGGTGTGTTTCATTTAAAGCTGTGTCCTTTATGAGAACATATTCATTTGCAAACCACATAGAGGATTTGTTCTGTTGTTTAAAGACAACAATTATTTAATATGAACTATTAAATGGGGAGAAGGCATGTAAAATATTAGGTTTCAACTATTTAGTTTTAGTTATGCAAAATTTAACTTAATATTCTTAGACAGTTTGACTAATGTAAGTTTAAATGACTATTAAAGTTGAGATGATTTAACTATAAAGAACAACACAACAATTCCACACTGTACTTTTTCATTGTCCCAAATAGGGCTGCACGGTTTTGGCTAAAATGAGAATCACAATTTTTTGCTTAAAATAAAGATCACGATTTTCCCGCGATTCTGTGGATGCAAAAAAAAAATAATAATAATTTATATGAGTAGGCTATTTATATTGTTATTCTCAAACATGGTAAAACAACAATGATAATATTAGGCCTTTGTGTAGGTCAACTGATGGTTAAAGTGTTGAAATTTGGACAGACTTAAAATGGTAGACTTGAATAGATTTTACATTTGTCTTGGTCATCATTAATGCACAGTAAAGGGATGACATCAGAATACAACTATTCATAACTGTGAAGTTTCATTTGTATATTTCAGACATATGCTTTCAATCTGTCATTGACAACCTTATAAGACCGTTTTTACTTCAGTTTTTACAACTTGCATTATATTCAGCATTATATTGGCTAGCGTAATTACACTGACCCCGTAAACATACATTTTCATGTACAACACTTTGTGTTCACTGTGAACAATAACCATATCTTGTAGTAATCCTAACTTTACAATATGATATAATAATTTAAACAAGACTAGACAAGTACACCGGCTAGTACACTACAGATGTTGTGCAAATATTGGATCAAATATAAATGCTGTATAGGTAAACATTTGTCATTGAGATAGACAGAGAGGTTTACAGAGAGGTGTAAAAATAGCAGTTGTATTTACAACTTTATTACCAGCCTGTGCAGGTTCTGTTCACTAAAGTAGACATCATTTGCGGGCGCGTCCTCTCAGTAGTAAACAAACTTTTTTTTTTTTTTTGCAGTCGCAAAATACATCAAATACATCACTACATTAATACAGAAATGACACTTTTGGGTGAATTATACATGAATAAATAGAGTATGTGACAAGTTTAACACCATTTGGAGGTGTCCATGTTGCTGCACAACGTATATCCGCTTGTTAAGTGGTGACGTGTTTGTGACGTATGTACTGTAATAACTGTTTCCGGGTCCAAGCTGCCATTCATTTGAGTGGAGAAATCATTCATTTATGATCACGTTTTATTCCTATCACACATTAAAGTTAATTTTATATAAAATCATAGTGTACACAACAATATCTGGGCTTGCTGCATAACAAATACCAAATATTTAACAATTTATAAAAAGTTTATCACTTTCTGGCCATCGGATATTAGGCATAGACATATATATTGCGATCGTGATTTTCGAAAGCCTTAAATCGCTTTATAAACGTTTATTATTACCATTTCATGAGTCTCCCCATTCAGTTGAATAGAGCGCTTGGACCCGGAAGCCGCTTCGTGTGACGTCACACTTAACAAGCGGATAAGGTCCCATTTACACTAATACATTTTAGTTTTAAAATGCAAGTTTTGCTATGGTTTTACCTTCCGTTTACACTCTGGGGGTAAATCTTCGAAGGGAATAGTGTACTTTATAACATTCGCATCACCCTGTTGTTTCACTTTCTAAACTATAAAATTAAAACATGATATGAGGAACTGGCTATTTTTATTTTAACTTAACAGACATCAGAAATGTTAAGGCGTCGTGTAGCTATATATTTATATGACCGTCATCTTCACTGTTTACTTATTTATAACAAAACAGAGCCTAAAACAACTACCTCCTTTCATTTTCGGTGAAAACTACAAAACATACCTGAATATCAGTTATGATAATAAATACATTTATACATTATAACTAATAAAAGCAAGTAATCAGTCAAATGCTCAGAATCAGTGTACATAGTACATAAATTATTATATGAACTTATCTAAGTGCTCAGCCAAAACACATTACCTGAAAACAATACATTCAAAAGACCAAAATCGAGGAATATGTCATCAGTTATAGACAACAAGATGAATTAAATATCACGTTTAACAAATATAGTGAGATTAGATCCAGTGGTAGATTCTTGATGAACCGTTCAACATGAACTTCATATCGTGGATTTATTAATTTGTTGTTCCCCCAAAAAACTTAATAATTGTGTTGATTTAGCTCATTTTAAATAAGTAGTTTAAACAAGCAGCAAAAATCTTCTTTTTTTCGAGTAAAAGCAGCAAGATTTGCTTTACAATGCACCTTTATATTCTTAAATTTGAACATAAATCCATAAGGAAACTGCTTGTTTAAATAATTTAGTTTAATCTAACAAATACAAAAAAAATTCAATCTGCATACACGGTATATTACATAAAAGTTAATGAATAATACTATAATAAAAATAAAACTATACAGCAATAAAAAAGGAAAAGAAATTACAGACGAAAAACTGATTTTATTTTAAACTCTTACATTGCTTTAAACAGCTTTCCAAAACAGCTAGTGCAAAGAACCGCAAAATCGCATTCATTTGTATGCAGTTTACGCTATAAAATTATTAGCATGTAAATATAATCGCCAGCAAGCCATCTAAATTTAAATGTGGCGGGCTTTTATCCCCAACTCATGTAAATATAAATAGCGAGGGGCTTTTCGTTTGAGCTGCTTGTTACTATAATGCAATGTAAATGAGCGTTCTCGTATGCAGAGCAGCGTGGTCGACAGAGCAGAAACGGGACACAGATGGGACCCTATTCCTCTGTTTTGTTATGGTACGATGCTCCGTTAACCCTTACCCGAAGACAGGATGGGGGCAAAAGGGACAATAAATTGAAAGCAGCAGAGCTCAAGGTTACAACACATCAATCCTGGGAGAGTGCAGAGAAGAGACGAGTGGGAATGGAATTATAGCAGCCGAGAGAGAGAGAGAGAGAGAGAGAGAGAGAGAGAGAGAGAGAGAGAGGTGCGATAAAGCTAGAATGAGAGAGTATGGGTGGAGAAAAGGAAAGAGAGAGAGAGAGAAGGATAAAGCTACAGCGCACTGACCTACACAGACAGATGAGTAAGTGCTGTGAGTGTGTGTGGAGTGTTTCCAGCATTATCTGCTTCTCAAGGATCCCGTTAAGATGGTCCCGTAGCCCTTCATGCTCCATATCTGGATATTTGTACTTTAATGTGGGATGAGCAAGACATCGACACCATGAGGTACTGTACTCGCTGAGCTGAGAGATCGAGACGCGAGGTGTTTGAGAGCTGAAAGAGAGAGGGATGATTGTGATAACAAGCAGGAGATGTGACAGAAGAGGAAAGAGGGGTTAGAATGAAGGGAAGCGGAAGACGAGAGGTGTTTTCCTCAAAAGTTGAAGGGGTTTGTGTGACTGTTGAGGGAGCGACTCAACATTAACCCAGATTCTGCTTACTTCAGGCTAGTAAGTTGTTGTGTTGCCTTTGGTTTTGTAGTATTTTTTTACTGTATTGAACTGTTGCGGATTGGGATTAGAGTTCACATTTAACTGTTTCAGAATTATTATTAGATTTAGATTTAGGTAAAATAGCAATTCTACCTCAATCCCAATTTATTTTTACACACAAATCTACATGAAATCTGATTTAAACCCACATTCAGTCCAAGTTGGCAGTTCACATTTAAATCCATATTGAAATCCAAATTAAATTCAGATTTACATTTAAATCAAAAGTCAAATTAGTTTTTATTATATTTAATTTAAATTTGTCCTTAATTCATTTTTAAAATCGGTAAATATTGTTATTTTGCAAATCTATTTTATATGAATTCAACTGTTCACATTGAATCCAGATTTTACAATTTGCTTTTAGATGCAACTCTACATGAAATGTTCATTTATATTTAATTCAGATGCAGTTCCGCAAGGTTCAGTAACATTTAAAACAGTTATTGTATATAATAAAATAAAAATATGTATATAATTTAGATAATTTAAAAGAAAATACAGAGATAATTTGGTTTTACAGTTCACATTTAAGTCCAGATTTGAAATAACATTTAGATTTAGATTTAAAAGCAAATCCAGATATAAATCAAAGGTACAAATAATCAGAATCTGGATTTAATTCAAATAAAAATGTTCAACTAAGTTCAAAAACAATTCAAGTTCACATTTGAATCCAGATTTTGAATTTACTTTAAATGCAAATTCAAATGCAATCTTTGCTTAAATGGAACGACTGAGACTACCTGCTTTTAGAGTTCACATTAAAATCCAGATTTCTAATTCAAATTGAATGCAAATTCAGATGCAATTTATGCTTAAATGGAACAAGTGAGGCTACCTGTTTTCAGAGTTCACATTTAAATCCAAATGTTAAATTTATATTAAATGCAAGTACAGATGCAATTTAAGCATGAGGCTTAAATGGAACAACTGGGACTACCTGTTTACATTTAAATTCATATTACAGATCAATTTTAAATTCACATTTAAATCTGGATAATATTCGAATAACATCAAATAAATAAATGCAAACCTTAGTTTGTTCTATTAGTACTAAATTATATTTGAATCTTAAGTTAAAGTGTGTAAGAATATAAAGTCATAAATTTTCAAATTCATAACATAAAATCAACCGTTTAAACTTAATCACCAGTGTAAAGCCACTATATACCTTCTCCGTGTATCTCACATTATGAATTATTTTGGCACTGTTGCTTAGTAACAATATATTAATAACATTTATGTCAGTATGTGCCAGTAATAAATGCAACCCTTTAATAAGTATTGATGTTTACAGCGTCATGCATGCTGTGCCGCTTTGTGCTGTCCGAGAACACACTTGATACTCCAATAAATGACTTCAACATAGTCTCCTAGTAGAGCATATTTTGATGTTTCTTTGTAAATGGAGCTCTGCTGTGTAAATTCTTCAGAAATCTCTGTGTGAGCGGTAAAAGCAGTGTTCGCGATCTCCTCCTCTTTTAAATATAATCTTTGAGTAAAGCCGCTGTCTTTACAGTTCCACTGAGGACTGGCAGTAAAAGTGTCTCAGTCTCTCTCTCTAGTGGCTATGAGCTGAGTATCCGTATATTGTGTTTTGGACAAAAGCAGCCGTACTGTGAAATCTCAGATAAAGTGTACAGTATAGTGGAAGAAAGCCAAGGGAATGAGAATGTTTGAATGGGAAAAGTGTTGTGCAACAGTACTAACCTTCACTTAAAAAAAAAGTCATTCAGAAGCGTCTTGAGGACTTTCTCTGATTCATCTTATGCTATTGACTTCAAATACGCATATCAGTTGTATCAGCTGAAATTTTATTTGTGCCATAAAGTACGAGAAACGCTTAGAACGAGAATAGAAAAGCCATAATGACCAAAAGCAAGCTACCTATTAGACTCCATCATGTGCTTTAAAATTTCCCAGAATTCATCATTATGAGTATAATTACATTCTGTGGACCTTGACGACCCTGTGCCAGCTTAATAAATGTCAGTGTGACTTTCTGTAAAAAAATAAAATAAAAAAAATAGTAATGTAATAGAAATCAATTCTCTTTTCTTGGTCATTGTAATCAGTGCGCTAAAACGCAGAGCACCATTAAAGAGAATTTTTTTGTCGTTGTTGATACATACAAAATATTATTTTTCCAGCAAGTCCTGCGTGTTTGTTTTTGACAGGATGTGTGTGTTTTTGTGTGATGCATTTGTTGGGTTGCGAATAGAGATGGAGGAGGTGTTTGTGTTGCTCTATTAATGTCTCGGAGGGTTAAAGCGGTTTGTGATTTGTCTCCTCAGAGACCGGCGTCTGTTTTCTTCACTCCTTTCTTTTTCTTTGTTTCCTTTCCCTCTTTTTGAGGCGCACAGCTGTCTTGGCTTGGAAATACTTCTGGCAATCTTAAAGTTAAGAAGTTGGTCAACATTAGAAAAAGATATTTGTACAGATGAACACACGCTGATCTTAGTTTACTTATGTAAGTAGTTTTATTACAACTTTTATTACAAAATATAATTCATTACAAAAAAATATATATATATTAATTTGAATAAAAATTTGAATGTAAAATAATGTAAAATAAAACTGTTATGAAGTTTAGAATTGTGTTTAATAATTGATAATAATGTTATCAAGCATGATTTGAGAAGATCCAAAAAATATTTTAAGTTTCAGTGTAAGAAAATGACCATCTTAGTTTCTTAAATATTTGATTTCTAACCAAATGTTGTTCCCACTGTCTGGTTGTAGATGAAACGGAATCTGCTGCTTATGCAGGATAAGTTGGGAGTTCATTCTTCTGTGGCGACCCCTGATAAATAAAGGAACTGACCCGAAAAGAAAATGAATGAATAAATAACCAAATGCTCTTTCCATTTTCCTTATTTTTTATTTTTTTTTATATCATAGTTGTTATAGACACATTAGTCAGTTCGCCTTTCAGGATTTAATCCTGTTCTGTACACACTGTACAGTCATTTACATAACCGAATAAACCACACTCAACAAAATTTTGTCCAAAAAAATTGAACAACTAGTTGTTTATAATGCATTGAAATGTGTATCATAATGTAAAGGTCTTTTCTGTATGTGCAGAGTATGAATTCACAAGGAATGATGTGTGTATTGACTTAATAGTGATGCCAGGTCTTGCTTAAAGTGGAGAAGGAAAAGCAAATTAAAGCTGCTCATATTAAATTAAAATACAAACTCTTTCTTGTCTGAGATAACACAGCCTGCATCTATCAGCTTTATTAAGTTCATAAACAGGATTGCTTAAGGTCAGAGACTCTTCGTTGCTCATTGTGGTTTAGTTTTTGACGACCATGAGTGTTTGATTGTTGTAATATTACAAGTTGCTATGGTGACCATGGCGTTAATCATTCAACATAAGCTCATCTGAAAACGTAGCTCTATATATATTTCTGGAAATCGCGAATTATGTAGCCAGCAGACCGTATGGCTGCATTTTATGACGCTGTTCCTTCTTGCACTTACCAGCTGTACATCTTACCTTCGTATGGACAGCTTTTCCTCAGTTACCAGTTTGTACAGTTAGCTCGCAATGAATGTCGGCGGACATGAGACACAAAGAGTTGACCACGATGATGGGGTTTGAATCTGGTGAAGAAAAGTACCAGTAAGCAGGTAAGAAAAAAAACAGAAGCCAAAACATAAAAAAACAAGGAAATAACTGAGAGAGAATGTGGTAAAATCTGAAAACATGGTAAAAATCAGGCTGCATCAAGAGCTTTTCTTTTTTTTTTGGATTGCTTTTAAAAACTGTCGGTTGGGTTGGGGAAGTTGGTGGGCGGGTCAATCTGTGCTTTTGAAAACACTATTCGTTGGGTTTAAGGAAGGAGGAGAGTAACGCCTGTTTCACACCGCAAGTGTCAGCGGCGCTTGAGCAGAGCGTGCGCAGCGCGTATGTCAAGCAGTAGCAGCACGCAGGCGTTTGCCTTTCACACCAGCTGCGTCTGCAGCGCGCAGCTCTTCGGCAGCTGCTGCAGAGATCAACCTATTTCTGTCTATTCTATCTTGTACCCATGTCTCTCTATATACAAATACACTTTTTAATCTTTTCATCTGCACCAACACCCCTCCTATGGTGTTTCTTTAACCTGCAAATGTTTATTTTACAAATTTTATAGATCAAATAGTACTGTATGCTTCTCAAGCTAACTTATATGAGAAGTGTCTACAGTCAGAGGACAATCGCCTGTGATATTGTGTCATTTGTTTTTTGATTATCAGGTTGCTGTAGACCTAGTTATAATCATATTTATACAATATAGTTATAATGATATTTATACATGATCAAACTAGTGTTACTTTCTCCGCTTCAGTAATGTCCAGCGGCAGAATAACAGCTCGTTAATTCATGCTCGTGCAGAGGATGAGACGGACGAAAGTAACCAATGTATGCCATTCTTTTACTTATTTTCGTGTTGTTAGATTCACAGTGCAAACTCGAGTGAACATAAAACAAAGCCGATTAAAACTTTCTTCCTCTGCTCAGCTGCACAGAACACAGCGAGCTCACATCATCCAGCATGCGTGTCGAACTACACTACCCACAATACACTTCGCTATGGACTACAAATCCCGTAAATATTCTATTTCCCCTCTCCAACAACACTAGTGTGCAACTTAAGCAAAACTGATACTAAAATTGTTTTACATTTGGTTTTGTAGTTCGGGCCTAAATAAATGTTTGTTGCCGTTTTAATCGTTTTAAGT